CAGAAGCCGGGAGCCAAAGCAGATCCCGCCTGGCCAGGCTGGGGGGCAGCAGTTGGATCCACTCTGGGGGAAAGCCCCTGTGCCTGCCAGGAGCTCTGACTCTGTTTGTCCTGCCAGCTCCTGACCAGTGTCAGGGCCCCTGGGAGGCATTCAGAATCCAAAGAAACCCCAAATCCTACCGAGGGACTCATCCAAAGGAAGAAAGCCATTCTTGTCATAAAAAGCTTAAAAAGCTGTTAAAAGTTCTAGGACAGCAATACTGGGATTCCCAGGAAACTTAGTAGTGTCTCGGTTCCATTTCAATGTATCTTTAGTCCCTCAATGAGCAGCTTGGAGAACTTCCCCTGGGATTTGGAGGCTGAGCAGGGTTTGCTTTGGATTGCCTGGCACCTCTGGCCCCAGCTGGTGCAAACACAACTTGGGCCAATGGTCTGTGCCCAGTGTGTCCCTGTGGGCAGTGCCAGGCTGGGGACAGGCACACGCAGCTGGCAGCACTCTCTGCCCCAAACAGCCTTGGGGGGCAGCGCAGCCCCCCCAAGGGGGGGGATCGAGGGGGGCTGGAGGCGGCGGCCCAGGAAAGGCCCCCCCTCCCCCCGGGGCAGCTCCACAGCCCCCCTGCCCTCTCTGCCACGGGGGCCCCGCTGCTCCCCCGGCTGGCACAGAGCCCCCTGCCCATGGCTGGCAAATCAGGGCCAGGGCTCGGCCTCGCTGCAGCCGCCCCACACGGGAGCAACTCAGGGCTCAGACCAACATTTCCCTGCTTGGCCACTGCAGAGACCCTCAGTTCACCTCAACACATTCCTTCTCTTCCCAGCAGGTTACCTGAACTTTAACACCCACAACTGTCTGTGTCTCTCACCACTCATCACCTCAGCTTACCTCAATGTGTTCATTCCCTGCCCTGCAGAGAATGAACCTCCTTTTTAACCCCCAAAATTTCCCCTTCCAGCCCACTCCTGATTACCTTTTCTTGAACACAAAAGAGTCATTCTCTCCCCTAGAGATCATCTCCTTTTTAACCCCCTAAGTCTTCCTTACCTGCACACTCCTGATTATCTCTTTTGGACTTCCAAATATTCATTCTCTGCCCTGCATATTTGCTTAAGTTTGACACCCGAAATTTTCCCTACCTCTCCACAGCTGATCCCCTCATGTATACCTAAATATGTTCCTGCTCTACCCTACAGACCACCTCAAATTTACTCTCCAAACTTTCCCTACCTGCTCACCACTGACTACGTCCTTTTGACCTCCAAATATTCATTCTCCACCCTGGAGGGTTTCTCAAGTTTTCCCTGTCCACTGATGACTGCCTTAGTTTATCCCAAAATGTTCATTCTCTCTGCCAGACACTGTCACACATTTTACCCCCAGAACCTTCCCTGGCCTGCTGTGGTGTCCACTCCTGATTGCCTCCTCTGCACCTCTCAGGATTCATTCTGGACCCTGGAGATTACCTCGAAGATTTCTGCCCTATATGTCCCCACCTGGCCACCACTGATTACCTCAGTTGACCTGATGTCCTTTCTCACCCCTGGAGATAACCTCGTTCAAAACCCCCAAAGTTTTAACTCAAAATATTCATTCTCTGCCCTGGACGTTTCCTCAAGGCTTACCCCTGTAATTTTCCCCATACGTCCACAACTGATTACCCCAGTTTACCTCATGGTGTACATTCTCTCTGTTCCTCGTGACCTCAAAGTTTACAAACAGAAATTTTCCCTCCCTGCCCAACACTGACTGCCTCACTTTACCCCAAGGTATTCCTTCTCTCTGCTACAGATTCTACTCCCAAAATTCTCCTTACCTACCCACATGTAATCAGCTCCTCTCTACAAATACATGTTCACTCTCTACCCTGTGGGCTACCCCAAGTTTACCCTAAAACACTCCCCAGCTGTCCACCACTGAGCACCTCATTTATCCTTCAAAATATTCACTCTCTGCCCTGCACGTTCCCTCAAGTTTTACCCCCAAAGGTTTCCCCTCCTGCCCACCCCTGACTGCCTCAGTGTCCAGCAGGAGGTACATCCTCTCTGCTACAGGTGACCTGAAATTTTACACACACAAATTTTCCCTACCTGCCCACCACTGACTGCCTCACTTTATCTCTAAATGGTCATTCTGTCCTCTACAGATGACATCAACTCTTACCTCCAACATTTCCCTTCCTCTACATCACCCATTTTCTCTTCCTGACACCCCAAATTTCCATTCCATCCCTACACATTCCCTGAGTGTTTCCCTCCCAAGCATCCTTCCCTTCTTCCCTGTTTAAGAACTCACACTCCAGCCCCAGGCTCTCCACTCCCCCTCAGTGGGACCCCTCCAAAATGCCACCTCCCTCCCCTCTGCAGCACCTCACCTTTTCCTACACAAACAGTTGCTGGGGCCGCTCGAAATTACCCCAAGTTGGCAGCTACAAATGTCACCTCTGTCCCTGCCATGTTCTCCCAGGTTTCCCCAGCTGGGAGCTGCAAGGAATTCAGGCCAGGGAATGGACAGCAGGGAACAGCTGTACATGCAAAGGCAGAAAGAGAAGGTCTGTCAGCAAAAGGCACAAAGAAGGGGACAGGCTTCAGAAAACATTTCTGCAATCTAATGAAGAACTCTTTCCAGTTTCCCAGGGAGAAGAACAGGAACTCACAGCCACCAAGGCCTGACAGTCCCCTGCAGCCAGAGCTCAGCACACAGCCAGAGAGGCAATTCCAGCATCTAAAAGGAAAAAAAAGAACAAAAAAAGTGATTTATTTTGTTTTAAAGTTACTTTAAGTTGTTCCAAGCAAAGCAAGCCTTGCTCTGGTTTCAGTTGGGTGAACAGGGAGCGCTGGGCACAGGGCACGTCATTAATGCCCAGGGGATGGGGCTTGGTGGGGGAGGGAAGAGCAGCTGATGGAGTTGCCCAGTCCAATTCCTGCCCAAGGCCTGATGGCCCAGGACAAACCCTCTGGCAGGCAGTGGGTTTGTTCCCTCTCATGGTCAGTGCCCAGTGTGTCCCTGTGGGCAGTGCCAGGCTGGGGACAGGCACACGCAGCTGGCAGCACTCTCTGCTCCAAAGACACTTCTGGGCTCCTTGGCAAACTGCCTCTGACACTTGGTTTTCTCCAGCAGAAATTAAGGAATTGCTCATGGCAGTTTGGAGATGAAGTTATCCCAAAGGGAAGGAAAGAACAAATATTCCTGTCAGAGCCCTTGGGATCTGCTGGGCTGAATTGGGAAGGGCCCCTTATCTGCAGAGCAAATACAGGACAGCCTCAAACACAAAGCCCAGCCTGTCCAGTGGGGTGTGAAAGCACCACTGGGACAAACCTCCACTCTCCTGATTCTTTCCAGGGGCTGCTCCGACCCAGCTCTGAAGCTGCCAAGCCCAAACTGTCCCCAGCGCTCTGGAACAACAGGATCTTCCCAGGGATGATGCACTGGAAGCACAGCCCTCATTCTCACCCTCCACACGCTCCCAGGCTCACCCCAAATTCAGGACAAGGGGCCAAAGGCCACTCGGGCCGGGGCTCTCTCTGTCTCTGTGGGCTCAGGGACTGCAGCCACCAGGGCCCTCCAGCACGGACAGCCTGGACCCAGAGCAGATCCCTGGGCATTGGCAGCGTCCTGGGCACACCTGGAGACAGAAACCATCAGCCTCTGGGACAGCACTTCATTGCCAGCACACACAGCCTGCCACATTTAGGGGGGCAGCTCTCGGAGCACAAAGCCCAGTCTGACCCAGTTCTCCTGGGCACCAACACGGACTCCACAGACCCACAGGAATGAGAATGTTCTGCTGCTTTGACAAACTTCAGCCCAGCTTTGCAAACCTCAGTCCCTGCAGCTCCTGCTCTCCAGAGCCCCGTTCAGGGCTGGCTCCAGTTCCCTGGAGAACCTGCCCCAGCCCCACTCTGGGCCAGCCTGAGCAGAAGCCACTGGGCTGCACAAGGAAGAACCCTCCCCTGGCTGCTGCAGCTGGAGGGAGATCCAGCTCCCAATGGAACCCTGGCAACAGCCTCCCAGAGGGTCTCTCCCCAGCCCTTGGCAGTGGCTCAGAATGGCAGCAGCTCCAGTGCCAGCTGGGTCCCTGCACGAGTCCTTGTCCCAGCCCTGCCCCACGGACACACACGGGAGACACCCACGGGCACACAGGCCTTGCTGGCACAATTCCTCACCCACAGCTGAGGGAAAGCCACACAACAGTAAGAAATACCCTGGGCTGAGAGCACTCATCACTCCAGTCCATCAGGACTTGGAGGCAGTTGGGTAGGGAACACACCCACATTCTAACCCCACCTCTACTTTTCTAACAGGTTCTCTTAGAAAGATCCTGGACAGGAACTCAGACAACAGAACCCAAACACTGCCAAGCAATAACAGAAGGTTTGCCAGGAAGAACAGGAGTTCCTTGTTTTCCTTAACACCCTGGGACTGGAGGACCCAATCTTTGCAACCAAGGGACACCAGAGATGTGATTAATACTTAAACCTCTCCCCCCTGGTTCTGTCTCAGAGAACTGGGCCAGCCCTGAGCTACTCCCAGGTGCCTGCAGTGCTTTGGGGAGGGGCAGGACAATGTCCCACTTCTGCTTGGAAACATTCCAGATGAGGAAAAGCCACTTCCCTTCTCTCTCTCTGACCCAGAACCAGAACAGTCCTGTAGGACAACACGGACTATGCACGGAAGGCCCGAGTCAGTGGGGGAAAAAGCACCCTAAACAAAGCAAACCACCCCAAATTTCCAGATAAAAACACGCTGCTTCCTTAACAGGAGCACACCAAACTCATTGAAGCCAGAGAGGAAATCACAAACAAATAAAAGACCCAAAAGGATGCTTTGCACTGATACACTCTCTGGTTGATCATCCCAAAGGAGATTCTCCACAGATCAGAAGCAATTACCAATTACTTGTCCTCTGTGGAAAATTAACAACTTGAGGGGCTGGACATGTCCAGTGAGGGTTCAGGGTCTGGTGGGTCCTTTATGGCTGATCCTGACCGGCCCAGGCCAAACCCAACCACCCCCATGGCTGCTCCATCCCAGACCTGGGGCAACATTCAGACAGTTTGGAAACACTGCCCTTCCCTGCTACTCCGTCCTCCCTTACACATCCAGTGCCCAGGGAGCAAATGCCAACAGCAGGAGGAGAGAAAGGTGTCCCTCTGACTTACCCCCCCCCACGGGCAGCACCAGGAGCCCCCAGCCCGGCCGGCGGGGCTGCAGCCTCTTGCCTTTGGCTGCTCCCAGCCCAGGGCACTTGGCAGAGCTGGGCTGGATCAGGGCTTTGGCCTGGCCTGGAAGAGAGGAGAACAAGGCAATTAAGGGCACTGGGCAAGTCAAAGGCTCCTGCCCTTCACCCTTCTGTTCAGTTGCTCACTAGAGAGTTTCAGCCATGAAAAATCCAGGGGGGACAAAAAATAAAATGTGGCCTTTTCCAGCATTTCCATTCCTATCTCTTTCAGGCACTAAAAGGAGGCTCACCTTTCTTACTGCATTCCTTACCCCATTAGAACAGAACCCTTTTCATTCCAAACCCCCCTTGTGAGTCAGTCCATCCTCTGCCACTGGACTTTGGACAAGGGAAGAGACACCTGGGATGCTGGAGCCCAGGAAAGGAGGGAGAGAAACCTGGCAGGGAAAGGATTCAAGGCACTCCAGAACTCAGAAATGTGTTCATGCCTTGCCAGCCCACCCCCATTCTGTGCCACCCACCTGAGCTGGGCAGGTGAGGCCAAGGCTCCCCTTCCTCCTGCCAATCACTGTCCCAGCACACGGATCCCCGGGCTGGGCAGCACTTGGGAAAACTTGGGAAAGGCAGAAGGGAAATGGCACTGCCTGTCAGAAAAGGAGTGTCTGTGAACATCCCTTCTGCACCAATGGAATCCCACCCCTCTGCTCCAATAAACCCAGGGCAGGCAGGTCTCTCCAGCCCAGGGAGAGCAGGAAGGAGAACTGCAGGAACACAGGCAGGCACGGGCAGCTCTTGGCACTGATTCCCTGCAGACCTCTCTGCACTTGGGGCTCTGGGCACTTCAGTTCTAAGGAATGGGGGAGCAGCAGCCCAGGAATGCCCCTCAAAACCAGGGGCCTGGGCAGCTGGAGATCATAGGAGGGGAGTTGGGAGGGGAGACACAGAGAGAGAACAGGAACAGGGGTTGTTTGGGAACAGGCTGTGTGTCCAGCAGGGAGGGGAACTGGAAACACGGGAGGCTGGAGGAAGGCAGGGGGTGAGCACGGGCCTGCCTTGGATGGATCCTTTTTCCCTTGGCTCAGGGGCCTCAGCTCCACCCTCTCTGAGAGCAGCAGGGAACTGCTGCAGGGGAAGAGTTCATTTAGGCACAAGGCAGTGATGCAGCCACGGGGGCAGGGGAAGAGGGGAGAGGAACTGACACCAAAGTGACACCATCACCACTGAAAGGGACTTTATTGAGCTGCAGCACAAACACCTTCCCAGCAGGCCAGGGCAGGAGGTGCCCCCAGGACCACCAGCCCAGCAGCTGGGCTGGCAGGAACACCATCTTCTCAAGGGCTGGAGCCAGGGGCTGACAGCTGGGATCCAGCCTGGGGGCTGGAGAGCACTCAGGCATCAGGGCCAAGTCCTGCCCCCTCACTGCACACAGTTCAGCCCCAGCAGCAGGGGCATTCTCTGCCTCTCCCTCCACTATTATTTGGGGCCCAACAACTCAAGGCTGTGGAATTTTAGCTCCCTAAATGTTTTACATAGTTGAGCTTCACAAGAAATGGGACACTTGTCATTATTCCTCATGCCTCCAGGGCTGCACTTCCAGGCTCCTTTGGGCACGAGGAACCCTCCAGACTGCTCCAAACCTTCACAGGACACTTGCTCTTTTTGCCACAGCTGGACCAGCTCAGTGTCCCTGCAGAAAGAGAAGACAATGATCCTTTCTGAAACCAGAACCTCCCCCCCCTTTGCTTTCCCATTCCAGGTTTGGTTCCCTACACAACTGAGGCCCTTCCAGGCCTTGCCAAGTGGCAGCCAAGGAATCCAACCCAAGAACCTGCCAGGGAGCAACATCTGTGCCACAGTAACATCATTCCAGGCCTCTCCCTGACAACCCTCCGCTTCTCCCAACAGCTCCAGTGCCAACACAACTTACCCTGAAGGCACAAAGGCTCCTTTTGGGAGCACCACGAGCCATCTGCTCTGTAGCACTAGAATTCCATCTCCTGGGCAAGATGGGAGAAGCAGAAAAGATAACCAGGCCCTTACAGGTGAATTGCAGCTGCTCTTGGATGAAGAGATGCCCCCAAGAAAGGTACTGAGTCAACACCTCACCAAAGACAGAGGAAAACAAAGAGCCACACTCCTTCTGTTGTGTTAAGGACTGAGCAAGTTGGACCTGTGTCTGAGCAGGACAGGTGCAAACCAAATGCTGGGGACTGGAACACACACCTGGCACTCCTGCAGCTCTCACAGTCACATTCCAGAGAAAACAGCCAATTGGACCCTCCCTGCTCATTCCTTAATCCCAATCCCACACTTCTTTGGCACTTGGAGCACCACTTTTATCACCCAATTGCAGCCCATTAGAGAGCTCCCTGTCTAGCAGGGACAGGGACCCCTGGGATACTCTCAGCAATGCCTGAATCCATGGCAGGGACCTTGCTTTGAGCTCCCCAGGGCCGGGCACCCCGAGGATCTCCCCGAAGAATCCTTTCGGTGCGCGCTGGAGTCCTCGGGGTGCCCCAACCCGGGGGGCACCCACAGCACTGTCCCTCCAGGGGGCCAAGTTGGTCCTAAACTGCAGGGGGATCTTGCCTGTGTCCCAGACTGGTCCGGGGATCTGAGGCCCTTCCTGAGAAAATCTCGGTGCCGGCGTGAAGGGCCAGAGATCCCTTGGAGCCACGGGAGAGCAGGCACAGAGTCCCTCCTGGGGGGCAATTCTGCTGCCTGAAATCAGCTCTTCAGAGAGGCATTTTAAGACTCAATTTATGAGTTTTAGAAGCCAGGCATTCCTTGCTTACAACACCCTGCCATGATCCCAGCCCCACGGGTGTCCTGGCAATCAGCTCCCAAAGGGCACACGGAGGGGTCTCCACTGCAGCTGATATGGCAGCATTACAGGAGGGTTCGTTTCCCTTCCCTGCATTGCTGTTTCACATTCAGGACATTTTCCAACACTTATCACCATACACACCTACCCTTAGAAGGTTTCTGAGGGCCTTCCCAGGTCTTCTCTGTCTGGAGCCCTCAAAGTCCTCAGGGCCTGCCCGAGGAACCTCAACACAACTCACCTGCTTACACAGCAACTTGGTGCTGCTTGGCTGCTGCCTCACTTCCCTTCTTCTTTCTTCACCTCCCTTGCTTGGTCCCTTTCAATCCCTGGGCTCAGCTCTGGGCAGTTTCCAGGCTCCATCCCACTGCAAAAAGGATTAGCCCTTGTTACATCTCAACACTCACATATCACTCCCCCTTTTTTTCCTTCACATTGGGTCACTAGGACAGTGTCTCCTTATTTAAAGCACAGTTTGACTCCTCAGTGACAACAACTGACAGCCCTGAATCCTAACACAGGCTGAGACACAAACACGGGTGGGAACTCTGAAGGATCCACTTGGTTCTGCTCACCAATCAAAAGGAGCTTTCTGAACTCAAGGAGAACAGACCCCAGGTCCTTTTACTGCAACTTTACCTGCTATCAATGTGACCCACAAGACCTGCAAAGGCCCTTCCCACTTCCCCTGCAGGGCTGGCAGTGCCACCACTGGACACGGCCCCAGGGGCTGGGCAGGAACGGAGGGGCTGGGGCGTCCAATCCATCGGCCCAGGCGGCACCAGGAGTTCCTGCAGTTCCTGAGGGGAGAGCCTCAAGACAACAAAGGATTAGGAAGAGCATTTCAAACTTTAATATCTATATCCCCTGGAAGATGGGGAGTTGGACAAGGCCTGCTGGGGCAACAAGGACACACTCAAGGCTGTCTATTCAAAGGATCTACCAGCACTCAAAAGCTGTCACTGTCCTTCTGTCAGGGGGAACTCAGCAAACTCTCTTTGCCAAGAGCCTCCAGGAGGATTTCCAGCTTTTGGGGCTCTCTTTTAACCATTTTTCCCATCACTGTAGCTGGGACTGTCACCTGCCCTACAGGGGGAACAGCCCACAAAGTTCACTTGCAGGGATGCCATTAACTCAAAGTCCCTTCTCAGGGGGTCACTGCACACCTTGGCCTTTCTTTGCCCTCCCCACCAAAGATGCTTCCAACACTTCTGACACATCTGGCAGACCCAGAGCTCTCCTCAGGGAAGGCTTCAGCTGCTTAAAGGCTGCCCTTGCACCATCTAGCCAAGGCAGCAAATGCTTACAGGCTCTTGGAAAAGTTGCCCTAACAGTCTTACCACACATGCAGAGGGAGCAATCCAGAGTCCAGCCCGTCCCACCATTCCCAGCAAGGCAGTTCAGGGGCTGCCTGGGGCTCAGGGAGGAGTCACGGGGCTTCTTTTCTTCCTTCCTGCTTTCCAGATTTTCTCCTGCAAAAGCAAAGGTTTCTTGGCTTTCCTTGCTCAAGGACATGCAGCCAAGGCCATCTTTGCAATCTAATCCTGGAAACTGCTCCAGGTTGTCATTTCAGGGGCTTCTCTCAGGTCCTGCACTAATCAATCCCCTTGGCCATTGGTTTCCTTGGCAGGTTCTTACATTCACCTTCTACAAGCAAACCAGGAGGAGCAAATTCAGCTGTTCCTGCAACCAATCCAAGCTGGCATTCTGATTTTAAAGGATACTGGCTTGGCCTTACCAGGAGAGATCCCACACCAGGGGTAATACCTACAGGTTCTGCCCTCTTCCACTCTCCTGCAGTTCCACTGGCCCACACCACAGGAACAGCTGCAGCTGCCACTTCAGTCGGGGCCTTGCTGCTGACAGGAGTTATTCCCTGCACAACAAGAGCTGCTGCTTGGACACATTGAGTTTCAGCAATTACAGTGTCAATATTCCCATTTTCAATTTCATTTCTGCCTCAACTTTTCCCATCTCTTCCTAGCACAGGTTTGGGTGAGTTTGGCAAACAGACAAACTGAGGAATTCCCCAATGTTTTCCCAGTTTAACCCCTGTCACACCAATCACCTGAACACTGCCAGTCCTTCATTCTCCCTCTCTTGTGTTAAGGACTGAGGAAGTTGGACCTGTGTCTGAGCAGGACAGGTGCAAACCAAATGCTGGGGACTGGAACACACACCTGGCACTCCTGC